TGTAACAACTGTGGCTAAGTCTATATCTATAGACTGTAAACTTATACTTGTTGCGTTAAATCTTTGAAGTATAGGTGTCCACATACAAATCATAAAACAAAAATTTAAACTCTCAATTTTATTTTTAATTGAACGAGCTTCGTGTCTTGTATCTTTTTTTTGTCCTTCGTCATCACAAATAGTAGTTAAAGCACTGAGTACTTGTGCATAACCATTAAACATTGCTTTACATACATCGTACCTGGATGACCAACGAGTTGAACATAGTTTTTTTATTTTGACACAACCTGGATTATTTTCGATAATATTAGTCAAAATATTCCATCTGAATGTTGAAACAGAAAAGAAATTATAGATTGCTTGACATATAAAAAAAAATGTTGTGCCTTCTTGAGTTGTATCTGCAGCATTGGAACCAATTAAATTCAAAGAATGTGCTGAACATGGCACAAAAAAGGCTGTCGACGAATAGTTTTTAATTCGAGTCTGTAATCCGTTATAAACACCAGACATATTAGACGCATTATCGTATGATTGTCCTCTACAAAACTTCAAATCTATATTAAGTTCACAAAATTTTTTAAGTAATGCTTGCTCCATTTCCGATCCTTTATGTCCAACGGAGGGAATAAAACCAAGAAAACGTTCCACCGGTGAACCTTCATTTGAAATATATCTTACGGCGACTGTGAGTTGATCTCGTGTTGTTACATCAGGAGTCGAGTCAACTATAAGTGAAAAATATTTTCTCTCTTTAATTTCGGACACAATTTTATCTATTACAGTATCACTCATTAAAGATATAAACTCATCACATATATTGGAAGATAAGTATGACACGTTCCCCTTTCCTTTATTTCCATAATTAGCTATATGTGCAGACAAAAAAGGATCGAATTTAGCCACTAGTTCCAGGCAACCAAGATAGTTTCCGTTTTGTTTTGAACCAAAGTTATTACTATTTCCTCTAAAAGCTAAGCCTCTAGATGCTAAAAAGGAAACAGTTTCAACGACTCTATATAAAACATTTTTCCAATAAGAAATTTCATTTTCAATATTTATTTTTAGTTCTAAGTCTATGACACCACGGTCTTTCTTGATTCTAGAAAACCAGATTCTAACTGATTCAGCATGAGTTTTACTAGTCTCATGTTCTTGTAGAGATTCATTACATTTTTTCCAGTTTATAAAACCTTCGTTTTTATTTCCGAAAACAGTTGGTTTAGGCGAGAAAAGCAAGCACTGGAAACAAAATAACGCGTTTTTTGAAGGAGAATATAAAACCCATTCTCTTAGTTTCTTTTCACCATTCTGAAGTTTTCTCATAAAATTATCAGGAGTTAGACTTCTACTTATATTACCAAACATTCGTTTTGTTTCTGCAAATGGTATAGTTGATAAATCTATCTTCGGAGGATTCGCAAGTAAGAAATCAATGGAATCTAAATTTAAGTTCCATTTTACTGGATCGGGTCCGGGAATTTGTGATTGGTCATTAAAATCATAAACAGTGATTTTTGCCTAAATAAAACGGAAACATTTTTGTTTTAAAACTGTGACTCGTGAGACATAGATGTCAGATATTTGATTTAATAGATAGTCTTATAAAAGATATAGCAATAGAAGCTCTTAACATAATATTTTATGAGTGAAAAAATATTATAAATAAAATAATATAATATTATTATTAGGTATTTAAAAAAATCTGACTATCCGTATTTAGAAGTAAATTTTATTAAGTATATTTTTTATATCTATATCTGTAGACTATGTGGCTGCGTAATAATTTCCGTAACTTTCGTTTCATCGGTTGTATTCAATGGTATTTCAATTTTAGAAATATCAGTTGGTAAACACGTTTTAGATTGAGAATATTCCTCTGTGGGAATCGATTCCGGCTATAACCAATGAAAATATTTAGATAAGTTCATATCTGATTTAAAAAAAATAATTTATACAAAAATAAATACTTACACTTCTTACAATTCTAGTAGGGAAAAAAGAATGAACTTTTGGAATTTTCTGAAGTAGTTCTTCGTTATTTTTCTTTTTTTCTTTTGCTGCTTTTTGGTAAGCTGCACCACTTAATTTAATTCGCTTACCAGACATAGTATAATATAGTATTCAATAACATAAATTTAACAAACACAACACTGTTGTCTACCGAAATTGCGTCGAGACTGTGGTTGTCGACAGACGACAGTCGATGATAAGATTACTAAAATGATCGTCAAATACGTATTTTTGCGATTATTATTAGATCATACAGCCCGCTTAGCCCGCAACTGCAAACAGGCGACAGCTCTTCGATGTGATTGAGTCACTCGCCGAAAATTAAAAGCTATAGATAACACAGAC